AGGAGCTCCCTAAGCCAGGGCTGTAACACCCTCTTTGGAACGCTATGGTTCCTGATGTCTCCAAGCTTCTGGGCACCACTGCATTCTTGGTGTCAGCTGTGTAAGCTGCTTATGGTATGTCTGGTCCAGCTGCAGACTTGCAGGAAGCTGGTGCTCATGCCAGCACCTGGAGCTGCCCACCTGCTGCAGCCAGCATGCCTGGCTGTGTGCAGTTGCCAGACCCCACACTTCCTGACATACCCCTCATCACTCCATGACTGGCTCGCCCTTGACAGGTGTGGGACCCAGACCAGTAGCATGAGTTGAGCATAGCCTGCCAGGTCGAGTGGGCAGAATGAGCCCAGCAGGCCAGAGCAAAACATGAGCAAAGGCACCATTGGCCACAGAGGTTTCCGGCTGGCAAGGCGACACCCCAAGGATCCTGTAACAGTAGGAGATTTAATAAGTAAATAAACATATAAGTATATTACTTCAATTTTTGATAAATGATAAATAAGGCAATGATCAAGGTGCTGTGTTAGAGAGATAAAAGAGGGAAAACAGGAAGGTATTTCCAGCTTTCTATAAGGTATTTGAAGGCCTCTCTGAAGAGGTAAATTTAAGCTTACATGGAAGGATAAGCTACAGCCAGTTCTATGAAGAGAGGAGCAAAATTTTCTCAGGTGAATGAACAACATGGCCAAAGGCCATTAATTTGGAAAAAACTCACCCATTTATTGTTGGAAACTATAAAAGGGCCAGTGTTGCTGGTATTTGCTGCAAAATGTTAATGATATTGTTTAGGTTCATGAAGCTGAAAAAAATGCCAAATCCTTGCGGACATTTTTATCTCAATAATACATTTATCTCAATAACCAGCTTCCTTATCTACATTTCCAGAAGATAATGTGATTTGATTAGTGCCAAAATTGATATGAAATTATTTTAATTTAGAGGAAAAAAAGGACTATATAGGAAGAGCATTCCCAAGGGTACCCTCTTGCCCATGGCTTCAACTCCAGTCTCTGCAAAGATTTCTTCTTTGTTTCTCATTCCTCTTTACATCTAGAATTATTTATATTTTTATGTAATAAGTAACTAACCAAGGCCTCATAAACTAGTTTGTAGTATTCATCTTCTTCATGCATAGGTATTTGTCCATTTTTTTAATTCCTTACTCCCTCACAGAGTTAAATTCCCTTCATTAAGGAAAATCTCAATTACCTCCAGCTTTAGGTTCCAGTAGTTCTTTCCACCATGTATCTGACTTTGTCTATTACCCTATAGGGTACAGAAAAGTGACAGATGCCTTCACTGAAAGTCCATCCCATTTTACATGTAAAGTGTCAGAAAATAAGAATTATGTTCTAAGTTCTTTCTCAAAACAGTACCTAGTATTAAAAGAACATGTTGTACCCAAAGGACACTAGGCAAATTCTTAGCTGATTCCACAATTGAATTGAGAGGATTATGTATTTCTGGCTGTGTCACGTGTCCAGGTCATTAAATGCATCTTCATGTGAGCCAAATAATTGAATGAAATAGTAAAGCATGTTTTTGGCAACAGCTCTTTCAGGTAGTCAAATTTTAAATTTTAAATTTGAATTTTTTTTTCTGTTCTGTAAATGAATGAGACTTACACTTCAGATTCAAGTCAACATTTTAATTAAAAATAACATTTACTAGCATTAGGACAAATACCTAATGCATGTGGGGCTTAAACCTAGAAGATGGGTTGATAGGTGCAGCAAACCACCATGGTACATGTATACCTGTGTAACAAACCTCCACGTTTTTCACATGTATCCCAGAACTTAAATAAAATTTAAAAAAATAATGTTTACTTGAATTTGCCATGGCATTCTTGAAAAAAAAAATGGATACATTGTTTTAATTTCACTAGCATTTTATAAATTTCAATGCAAGTTTTTGGCAAAGAAACACATAATTATATAACTACCTGGCATGCATCATCTTAGTACTATTTATTCAGAAAGGCCTTTTATAAAACAAACTTTCCTCCAAAAAAAGGAAATACAAATATTGTACTCCGATTGTGTATTACAACTTGTCAAAAGTGTGACGTGGTGACCTAATTCAGGAGATCTGGGTTTGAGTACAACTCTACCTCCAATTAAAACTCACAGTAACTATTTCCTGAAGTCTAATATAGCATTCTTAAAGTTTTTAACTAGAATAAGGGTTCTTTTCTTATTATTACTGACTTTTCTGTACCTACCATGGTTTTGAGAGGGTTTCTGAAAGTGTCATAAAGTTGGTTGTTGGTTTTTCTTTACCTTCCAAAAGAAGACTGAAGAGTGAGGAATAAAAAGAGTGAAGAGTGAGAAGACTGAAGGAAGACTGAAGAGTGAGGAATAAAAAGACTGAAGAGTGAGAAGACTGAAGACTAAGGAATAAAAGGTGCTAACGCACTTGCAATTTGCTGCTTCAAACTAGGGGACTTGTCTAGTGCATTTGTTCTAGAAAATTAGAATCATAGACATAGTCTCTCCTGGAAGCCAGTGAAAGTTCTAGGAAGCACTTGGCTACATTTGAAAGAAACACTCAAAAGAGATAGCTTGATCAAAGACGAAATCCCTCAGAAGAAACAAGAGAGGACTGGGTTCTAGGACCTCAGTCCCAGCACCATCAGGAAGCCTTATTTTATCCCTACCTGCTTACAGGATGCTTGGTATGGCAGAATTCTAATCCTACTTTGGACTGTTGTCCCTTTGAAACTTACTTCCCTTCGAGCTTGTTGCCCTAGTTCATTCCTTTATCTCTTGCCTGTATTCCTGCAGTAACCACCGAATGCATGTCCCTGCCTCCTGTAGAATGGCCTTGGAATTAATTTGAATGGCTTATTCAAATCCCCCAATCCCACCCATGGGAATGCTACATTGAGCACTCTCTTCCTCTGTGCTTTAAATACAAAAAGACTTTTTGAGAGAAAAGAGAAAGCAGCATCAAACTCATTCTCCACTGATATGGTTAGGCTTTGTGTCCCCACCCAAATCTCATCTTGAATTATAATTTCTATAATCCCCATAATCCCTACATGTCAAGGGAGAGACCAGGTGGGGGTAACTGAATCATGGAGACAGCTTCCCCATGCTGTTCTCATGATAGTGAGTGAGTTCTCATGGCTTCTAATGGTTTTATAAAGGGCTCTTCCTTCTCGGCTCTTCTCCTTCCTGCTGCCTTGTGAAGAAGGTGCGTTGTTTCCGCTTTGCCTTCTGCCACGATTGTAAGTTTCCAAAGCCATGCTGAACTGTGAGTCAGCTGAGCCTCTTTCCTTTATAAATTACCCATCCTTGGGCAGTTCTTTATAGCAGTGTGAGAATGAACCAATACATTCACATTCTCTCACTTCAAGCCTTAGAGCAGGATACCTCACAGTCCCAGCATGGACAGGATGTGTAGAATGGAGAGGAGATGCTCTGTTCATTGTGACCAGCTCTGCTTGAGCTCCAGCTGATTCTTCTTCACGTAGGAGTGAGGGGAATAGATCACCACCTGAAAAGGATGGCGGTAATGCCCAACACAGGTGCCTCCTAGGCTTAGGTCTTATCTCTACCTTCCTTCTTTCCATCAGAGCAGGAACTCTTTCTTATTCCTCCCTTTCCTTTAAGAAGACGGATACTTATCTTTCATTGGCTTATTTCTCTCTTAAAATTAAGGCAGAGGATTCAGGGTCTAATTACCATGGATTTACCTCCATTATCGTTCACTGGAGACAAGCTTGGTTCTAAGCTTTGTTCTACTTTGGGAATTATGACATTCTTCTAGTGAGATTTACTGAGTTTCGAAATGTTTACTCAATACTCACCAAAAACATGGTCTTTGTGACTTAATTTTTCATTTCTCTTTAGCAAATCACCAATACTTAAAGAGAAATTTTGCTATCCTCTTGTCTTTCTTTAAGACATTTACAAAGAGAACTTCAAGAAATTTCACATACCTTGCCTCTTGTCTTGTTCCCTTCAGGTATAGTTTTCCCACCGTCCCCAGAGTGTAATATCCAAAAGGCAAATCTGACCATGCCACTCTTGCTTAATAAATATTCAGGGGGCTCTACTTTGCCTCCAAGATTATTAATAGGCATCGAGGGCCCCTTGAGATGGGTTCCCATTGCTCCCTGCACTACCCAACATTCTCAGGCAACATTAAAATGCTGCACCCACCATGCAGGGTTTTATTTTCTTTCTTGCTTTCTCTCTTGCTACTCCTCTTCCTTGAATATTCTCTCATCCTTCCCCTTTGTCTTGGCAAATCCCTGCTCATTTTGGGGGGTTTAGTTTTGTCTTCACTCCTCCAGAACATCTCCTCTGATCTCAGGGTGTCTGCAGTCAGTAACCTGGTATAAGTCTGTCTTTTCGGGTACCATGTTATCATTTAGTTTTCTGTTTATGTGTTTGTTCTTTCACAGGTCTATTCATTTACCTCTAGCTGCTGGCAGAGAAGCTAACAAGAATAGAGATTCGCTAGCGTTTCTTTCTTTTTTTTTTTTTTTTTTTTTGAGGTTCTCAGTACTCGATTTAAAAAAGTAATACTTTTTCTTTTTCTTTTTTTAAATTTCAATAGATTTTTGGGAAACAGGTGGTGTTTGGTTACATGAATAAATCTTTAGTGGTGAGTTCTGAGATTTTGGAGCACCCATCACCTGAGCAGTGTACACTGTACCACCCTTTTCCCACCCTTTCCCCTGAGTCCACAAAGTTCATTGTATCATTCTTAGGCTTTTGCATCCTCATTTGCATTCTCACTTATGAGTGAGAACATACAGTGTTTGGTTTTCCATTCCTGAGTTACTAGAATAATGGTCTCTAATTCCACCCAGTTTTGTCCTTTCAGGATTGGTTTCCTCTGCAGGACTTAGGAGGGCAGGAAGGTGGCAGCATTTAGCTATCAGTGAGTTCATGCTGATGCTAGGAAGAGAAACAGAAATAACCACTCCTTTTTGAGTGTATCTTGGGACATTTTTCCAACTGCCTTGTTTGTTTCTCTTTTCCAGCAGAACTGAGAAAAATAAGGCCACAGTTGAGAATTTTGTGCTGGATGGAGACATCAATCCCAGAAATGCTGGACTGGCTGAGCAACTTGAGTAAAGCCCATCTTCCCTTTTGTCATGCAGGCCCTGGGAACTGCTTTAGGTCCCCATAATCCCTACATGTCAAGGGAGATGCCAGGTGGGGGTAACTGAATCATGGAGACAGCTTCCCCATGCTGTTCTCGTGATAGTGAGTGAGTTCTCATGACTTCTAATGGTTTTATAAAGGGCTCTTCCTTCTCGGCTCTTCTCCTTCCTGCTGCCTTGTGAAGAAGGTGCGTTGTTTCCGCTTTGCCTTCTGCC